CAAAACTATCGTCATCTGCCTACTTCTAGTGAACTAACTTTATTTTATAATTATATTACATAACAATGAAGATCAGTTGAAATTATCACACTTCTTGCACTTCATTTCATCCACCACTAGTTGTATGTAATCTGAAGCTTGAACCAGGCTGAGGCGGTTTTCTATCAGCTTGCCTTTTACAGATTGTCTTGAAATTTATCGCTAGTACTCACCGCCCTCGTCGTAAAACGTTGAAAAGTATATTTAAACGCAATTGTAGTCTGCTCCTTAGAATCGAGCCGTTTAGAAAGAGTCCATTCTGTTGCGTTCAATACCTTCCCCTCGTCTTTATTTGCATTTTATCTCATTCAATTTTTACTCTTCAAATGGGGCTGGGGCTGCCACATTTGTCGGCTGAAGCGAGATTAGGAAATCCCACCAACAAATTCAAGACATTCAACGATTTGGAGTAATATGGTCAATAAGGTGATATTTATTTGTCGCAAGTGTTTTCATAAAAAAACTGACAAGTATTTGTTGGTAATAACTTCAGCAAAGTTATTCTCTAGGTTCAGTTATAGTCTCATTGAAATTCATTCGAGAATGTTTTTCCGAGAAAAAGATATTAGGGGGAAGCCGACGTCCTGCAGACGACGCGAAAATATAAGCATAATTCAGTAGAGCCTAATTAAAAACTTTTAACTTCCCTGAGGGAGTTTTGCCCTAGGACCGTGCTCAGCTATACGTATTTTACTCTTGCACTAGCTGCTTGATCCGTCATTATCTGACTGTGAATCACAGGGTCAGGCTAAAATGCATATCTCAAATATAGGAAAGAATGAATATCGTTCATAGGTGAAGTACTGCGTATTAATCATCCCATCCGAACTCGTCTTAGTTGATTCAATATAGTGCGCGAACGAAGCGCTGAGGACGTCTGCGTAGGAGGCTAGCAATAGCCACGAGAAAATAACTCCTATTTTGTACTTTCAAAGAAAACAATGAAGGGTTTACTTGGTTGAATAAGAGATGTCGTTTGTCGAGTCTTTCTCAATTTTTCAAGTTGTCGGCTAGCTAGCCCAGAAGAGAAACTCACCAAGGTTAACTGGCTTCGAGAACATTCTGCCGATGTCGATTACCAACAATGGCCGCCGATAGAACCGAAACGAAGCTATTTAAAGAGGTTGGAGAAACATATTATTCGCTTAATAATAACCAGTAGAGATTGAAAACATTAAATTGTTTTGTCGCCCTGGGTCTTTCGGCTGATTTTGAAGACAGCATAACACCGTTCTCTGTCATGGTCACAGTGTTATTTAATAACAACAGTGTTCGCTCTAGAAACTCTCGTAAGGTGATTCGCTTGACTTTTCGCCGCTTTCCTAAGAAATGAATTATTTGGAACAGTAAGAAAAATGCGAGAGCGTTGTGCTTCTGAAATTGCCTCTGTTCAAACTACTTTCAGTTTCAAATTATGCAAACTATCGATAACTCAGATGTTTTCTCCTATAGCTTTTTGTGGCCTGATAGCTTTAAGAAGGAAAATGAAAAAATTCGCTTTTCTTCGGAATACCGCGGCCTCGGTAACGACTTACGAAATAACTTCCTTCGTTGCCACTCACAATTTCTACTTCAAAGTGATTAGTAGCAAATACATAGCGACTACGAATCGGCAGGACGAAACGCGACTTTAAATTCATGTGGTTAATCTCGCTTTCAAGGAGGTAGCAGGGAATAGTTATTTAATGTCTAGTTTAAACTCACATCTTCATTTCATCGTCTCGGTTGTCTGATTTGAGAGTACATACCACTTTTTGTCTATATTTAAGTGGCGATTTTGTTGGTCAATCTGTTGCCAGTTTGAAGAAAGTAGCTTGCGTGGCATACAGTGTTCTTCAGGTTAGACCATCATACAATAATCTCACGCAAACTCACCTTAGCCGGTTAACGAAATTTTTCCTCCAAAGGAAAATGTTTTACTATTATAGAAGAATGATGCAGGCAGAAAGAGTTGCTTCCAACAGGGTACGAAGAAATGGGTTTTGTCGTTTAGATGACGAACGCATTGCCGCAACCAACAGAGCACGTGACCTTGATTGGGAAACCAGTTTAACTGGATGAAGCTGGTTTTTCTTTAGCAAAGGTATCCGGCTTTTCTCAGAAATCCAACAATGATATAGTTTTTTTTAATGAAGTTAATATCATCAGAAAAATAAACGCGCACTCTTATTGGTCAATAAACCATCTATTTTTCGTCCTCTGTTGAATGCTGATGAGAGCTCCCGCGCGGTCTTGTCTTAATCTAATCAGAGCAAGGGTACAAAAGTCATTCAGGATAACATAAAAAAGATTTTTCAGTCCCAAGTGATACAAAAAATTGTTTTTTTTTAGCGGAGGGTTTCTTCAACGAGACTGAGTCTTTGGAATGAATGATTTGCACACTAATTCCACACGACAAAACTCTCGTCATCTTCCTACTTCTAGAAAGCAAACTTTATCTTAAAATTATATTAACCTGTTAACAAATCTTAAAAGGCTTCTTTTGCATTACCGTAAAATTCCGAAAATAATCCCCTCCATGTATAAGCCCCTCCAAATATGAGCCCCCTAAACCGGTAACGCAAAAAACCCTCCGTTAAATCGCCCCTCCAAATATAAGCCCCCAGGGGCTTGTACTTAGAAAATTGCCCTCAAATACACAGTAAAACAAAGCAAAAACGGTAAATTTCCTTCCAACTACAAGGCTAGCCCAATCGAGTTTGAAAAGCAAATTTCCCTCCTTAGATAAGCCTGTCTGAATATAAGCCCCTCCAAAAATAAGCCCCTCCAAAAGGGCCTTTGAAAAATATAAGCCACGGGGCTTATTTTCGGAATTTTACGGTAGGTTATGGATAAATTTGGCAGGTTGGTTATGACGAAGAAATCATCACCTCGTGGGACTCTTACACTCCTATCACGCTTTCCTGTGCATCCCTTTAACAACTCTACAAGTTCGAGTTTTCCATTAGTTAATAGTCACTCTTAGAAATAGAGAGTACCAAAAAAGTTTAATTAGACAACTTGAATGCACGAAATCTTCTTGAATACAGTTTTACCGTTGAAAGTGTTCCTTCCATAGTTTATGGGGATAGCAACATTAAATGGTTTATCTACTTCTATATTTCTTAGAATCATCGCAAAAACGATTTATTAAAGTTGTCGCTGCTTTTTTTGTTGAAAACGCCAGTTCTCTACTTACTAGTTACAATGCAATAAATAGTGAGTACGTTCGCTAACGAAATTGCAGAATTCGTGATAGAATGTTTTTGGAATTCCAATCTGCGAGGACACGTGCGATTTATAATTCTTGGAAGTGAAGACCTTGTTGATTTTTTGCAACGAAAATATTTTATTGCAAAGACGACTCGATCAGTAACATTACATATAACTTTAAAGTGTGAAACGTACATCACAGGAATAGATTAACAGCTACACGTTCATTTACCTCGTAAGTTAAACTCGCATTTAAACACGACAAAAAAAAAATAAAGACATCCTACATAGAAATTCAGTGACGAGCTCTGTATGATGGGATATTTTAACACCAGACGCTGTGACATCCATTCCCATAATATTGTTTTTAGCAATAACATTTTTATTCTAAATTTCCAAGCACACTTATATTTTACGTATATTTTTAATGATTGTTTTTTTTTTCAGCAACAACATAAACTAAGGGAAAAATCAAGTTAAAATAATGTTCATGAATTAATCAGGCAATGCAATTTAATCAATGATGTATGTTTAGAGAGATTGAACTTGTCTCTTCTTTATGTTTCTGTTCAGTGTACAAGCTGTCCTAGTTTACTTCTGAACTGCAACTGATTTTTCGACCGTTTGCTATGCTCAGTCATATACAACTTGAGTTCTATGCAGTCTTTAAATATGCAGTAAATTGAGCCTTTCTTTTGCAGCTTAGGAAAGTTATTGCAGTGCCTAGTTCCCGGGCCATGTTATGTGCGCAGCCTATTCGTCTTAGTGGTCCTATCGACTAAACACAGTCATCACTAAACAGCGGGTGTAAGACCAGTAACAAAGCTCAGTACAATCGGCGACAAATTGTTACGAGAATGTCCTCAAATAGGGTACATCGGAGAACAAAACATTCTGGATCACCCCCCTCCCTCTATTCAAAGTTGGGCCACGGTGTTTTTTGTTCGTTAGAAGTAGCACTTACAGCGGCACCACATTGTTTGGAGGGGTTGGGGTGGGAAAGCTTCAATTTACCCTAGTTTTGAACGCAGAAAAATGTCACAAAAGGCCCTTTAAGGTAAAGTGTTTCAACTAATTTTGTCGGTGATTGTACGTACAGCCCCACCTTGTATGGCCGTCAACGTTTAGAACATCTTCATCGTCAAATGTAAAGTCGCAACCATAATACTTGTGTCATGATGGACAAAAGCACGTATGCCTGAGATGGATGAGCACAAAGCGGCCACAGAAACAAGGGGAAAGTAATTCCGATTCGACCTCTTAACATAACTTAATTGAAACTCAGTTCAACTCTTTACTCTGAACTGACCAAGGTCATAAAACAAAACGGTTTCTTTAAAAATAGACAGAAATAAAAATAATATTCATGACAATGGAAAGTGCTACTGAATCAGTAAAAATGTCAATCTTTCCTCAGAGTCTGATAGTACTTACTCCACTATATATAAGCCGAGGCTTGAACTAAGCTGAAGCTTAATGTAAACTTGGTAATCACAAGCAGCGTTAGCTAATTACGATGTAGATGACTCGAATCTACCGAGACTTAACTAAACACAACCACTAGCAATCGACCTAACTCATTTGAAAGTACCACTTATTCTATGTCTGTTGTTTACAGGGAATGTCCCTATGGCGTATCTATATATCTATACGTGCTGACTACAAACAAATGCTCGGTACGTTTACATGAAACGCCCTAAATTAAAGCTACTGTTCTTGTTAGCGTTTTATACTCCAGGACGAAGAGCACCTCATCAACTCACTCCGCATCACTCAGAATGGGGATGAAACAGCGACACCTCAATATCCAACACGGCCAGTGTTTTCTTCTGCATGGAAACTTTAAACTCCACATCTCGTTTCAGCTGTTTGTACAACTTCTCAGCCTCCCGTAGCTCGTTCTTCCGAAAATCTTCGCATTTGGCCAACAACAGCTTGTCGTGGAAGTAACCCTGGACATTTCGCTTGCAAATGAATAGTATAACAGCGACGATCATTGAGCAGATTGTCAAGTGAGCTAGATTCAATGAGGGAAAAAAAAAACAGTCTCATCAGACTATCAAATTGAAATACTCTGTGCGGTCTGAAAGTGGGATTTTTCTTATTGACGGTTGCAGCTTATACGCCTATCACTTTGTAAAAGAACACTGAAGGTATTTGTCTTCAACCTAAAGGTACTCTAAATTCTAAATTAGATGCTACTGGCCTTATCCTATTCCAGGCCACAAATGATAGACTCTGTACTTTGGACCTGACGGAATAATTGTTTTATTATTCATTCAAAATGTTTCATGCTTAATGAAAAATAAGCTAAAACATATTAACCTCGATCAATGTTAAGTGCCCGTCTCCAATTGTCTGTTCCTCAGCAAATCCAGGATATAAGTATAAAAAGTGTTTAGTCTTGTAGATATTCTTGAAATAGCAGTTGTCATCGGTCCCCAGGTCTCCTCGGTTGCTTTGCATTTTTCTGGCATATATATATTCACGCCTTTTCGTTCCCAGATATTGCAATCGTCTTCCAAAAGGTAACACACATAAATAACCGTTTCAATGCTTTTTGTGTTCATATGCTTTTAACCTTCACTTTTTCCCGCTTTTATTTCAACATGTTATAATAGTATTATATTGCAAGCTATCCTTTATTTTAAATTGTAATGTTCCGTTGACAAATAACACGACGATTTGAGCAAATCAGAGGCGTAAATATGTTTTGAATGAATAATAAAACCCCTGATCCTCTGGCACCTTACTCCGTACCTTAAAAGCTTACGAAGGGTTAGAATGTCCTAAGTCTTAAAAACGTCTACAAGGGAACAAATTGAACTTACAACCAACAGTTAAATCAGCTGCGATGAGTAAACTAATAATGATGGCCACTTGCTTAAGAATATGAGTGGGGGTTCGTTTTACTCCATCCTGCAGATCAGAGATGTCAGCCTCTAAATACATCAGAGCATCTTGGCATGTACCCAGAACACATCTGCAATTGATAAGTCCCATTTCCATTTCCAGGTCATCGTTACGCGAGATTCTGTAGTTTCTTTTAACAGCAGTCTGGATCTACATAATTTTCAAAGAAACAAAGAGTATGAGGTCTTAATCATTACTGATAAATATCTTTGAAAAAAAGATTAAAGGGTTAAACTGTTGGCTAATAGAGCCTGCATGGTTTATCCTCTTCGTTCATTGCCATTTGGAAAAATGACGGGGCACTCTCAACTCTGCCTCCTCAGAGGCTGTAGAAAGGGAAAATCTATAAGAACGCAGGGAACGATGGGAAGGGAAAAAGAAAGGGAGAGAGACCTTTCCTCTCTTCCCATCGTCCACCGCGCGCTTATCTATATTTTTGTCATTTTTGTTTTGTTGGAATACCCAGCGGGAGCCTCTAAAGAGGAGAGAGGATGGGACAAATTGAAATTTATTTTTCACCTAGTTATATTAACGAGCTACTGATAGAGAGAAATTCTTCTTACAACTTGCGTGGTAAACACTCTCTTAGTATTCCTAGAGTTCAATCAACCAAATATGGTTGCACTCCTTTCGTTACCCGTCAGTAAATATTGGAATATGCTCCCAGAGGTACTTATAGAACTGCTGAGTCATTACATGTTTTCAAATAAAAAATTAAGAGCATTAGTTTGATAATAAATGCTACTCCTTTCGTAATTAGTTTTAATTATCACTAGTTACTGTAGTCACAACGTAATAATATTTTTCTTGTCTACGTTATCTTAAATTTGTACATAATAATTGTATAGTAATGCTTTTATTCATTTATTTTCTATATTTACTTTGATTTTCCTTCGGAGAAATTAGCATAGGTTTATGCTATCTTTTGAAATTCGACGTGAAAAAAAGTTTTTGATTGATTGATTGACTGACCTGCTTTCGCATAGACTGATGCAGACTTATTGAATCTCCCTTTACAGGGCTTTTCAGACACAATTAACTAATTACATGAAATTTGCAGAAATAAAATCTAAAATCTAAAAAGCTGAACTGTCTCGTCTATTCATTAGAATACACTGTTAAGCAATAAATAAGATAAACAAATTCCTGCTCATGCAATCTATTCATTAAATATACAATTAAATAATCTTTTCTTAAAAGGCTTGATACCTTTAATGCTCTGAAGGTCCTTTGGCAGGTCATTCCAGCGTCTAGCCCCGCGAAAGTAAAAGCCTTGACAAGACAACCGGCAGCGTGGAAGTCTCAAGTTTCCAGACCTTCTTGTGCTAGACCAATTTAGACATTTAAAAACTGAAACTAAATCATTGAATAAAATCTTCTCGGAAACATTCAGCCATTTTAGAAAATACGACCCCTCAGAAGCATGATCAAATTTATTACGATCTAGGCAGCGAAATTCTGCACTAATTGCAGCTCATAGTTGTTATGTACGTTTGATTTAACTAAGTTTCCCCATACAGGGAAACAATAAAACTAACTTGGTAAAAACAAATTTTTAGATTCCACTAACACTCCAAAGATCTTCAAAGTTTTCAGACTTCTAAGAAAGCTGTAGAAGCAGTTACGTTCTTCCATGGAAATGAAAGAGGGGCGAGTATCGATCGCTGTTGAAATGATATCATTAGTTCTTCAAATAAACTCTCTTTCCGGCTATTTGCAGACGACACTAGCGTCTTCCCTTCATTTCTAAAAAGTCCGAAAGAACTTAAGACTACCATGAATCAAGACACAAAAAGTAAAGAATTGGTGCGACGTTAATAAGCTCTCTATAAACCCTAAGAAAACAAACTTCATGTTAATTAAGTCAGCCCATAAAAAATGATTCTAATCATAATCATTATCTTGCCAACCAATGAACGCGCTATTTCTTCTCTTGAACAGAACGACCACGTCAAATACCTTGGCGTCATGATAGATGATAAAATAAGCAGGAAGTACCACATTTCTTTTTTTTTTTTTTCATGTATATTTAGAAATTCTAGAATTTTCTTTAAGCTTCGTCACTACTTCTCTCCATTTCAACTAGGGCAATACTATAACCTAATCTAGTCCTATCTCACGGCTATGCTATCATTGTTTGGGGCAGTGCCTACAAGTCCAGTATAATTCTCAAGGTCAAACAAAACCACATTGCAAGGATACTATTTTTTCCACTTTGTACGGGAAACATACAGAAAGCCCCTTGGCCATTAATAAATCTTTCGATCGGGACATTCTAACTGTTGAACATATTTGCGAACTTCAAACATTAAAATTTTCCCATAAATGGCACAAACAAGAGCTCCCATCAATCTTTCACAGTTGCTTTCAATACATCAGAAACATCCACTCCTTTAACGCTAGATATGCTTCAAAAGACAATCTATATCAATATGACCTGCTTTAGAACAAATACTGGGAAACAAACGATATCTGCATCGAAGTAGACCTCTGGAAGGAACAACCCTTTGACTTCAAACCCCTATTGTAAGTGCTGCTCTTTTCAACAACACTTGTTAATTAAGTATGCTTCTTCTGACATCTAACACAAATTAGCTACCTCTTCTTCGTTTATTCGCGCGTTAATATATGCTCTATGCTTCTGCTTTACGCTGTGCTGTGCACTTGCATTTCCTTTCTTTTCTTTTTTCTTTTTTTCCCTCTTTTACTTTGCCTTTACTGGTCTTTGCTTATGGTTCCTTATTTATTTATTTTATTCTGTTGCCTGTGTGTTTTTGTTTGTGAGTCTAACTACATAAAAAAAACATATTTATATGTCTAGAGACTAGCTCGAAAACCTCGCGGTTCATTAAGGCTCTAGGTACCTCCTTCTTTTATACCTATATTTTTTGTTACCTTAAATTTTTCCAAAACAAAAAAACAGATATGTATTTTAAAGAATATTTATACAATGTAACTAAAAAAGATAAGAGAAATGTTAATAAAGTAGTTGTTGTTTTTGTTGAGGCTGTGGCCATAATAATGTTAACACCAGGAACCCATTATCTCGAGAGAGCAACTTCCCTGTACTCGTCTCAAGGCACTTTCTCCAATTAGTTTATTTTTAGAACGATCTTGGCTCTAAAAAGTCCCACAAACCATTCAACAAAACCCAGCTTCAGACGTTAAAATGGAGTTTTTGACCTTTTAAGGACGTTTAGGTTTCCGTTTTTCTATCTTATACTTAATATGTTAATAGAAGGAACGGAGCTTTCATTTTCGCGTGAAAAAGTGCTCTAAAATGCATTTTAAAATAAACGGGTCCGTCAAAAAGCCCTTGACAAAGGCCATCCCCTTCCCCATTGAAGTAGCTCGCTCCAAGTTATGGTTTCCTTTCACGCTCATTCGTGGGGACGGTTTGGAGTCGTAGAAGTGCTTTTATTTTATATATCCGCTAGGATTGCTTAAATCTAGTACAATAAAGCCTAACAATGAATTTTTAAATATTTTGCAGTAAAATTCTATTCAATATCGTACTGGTATGTGCTTTCATTTAATGATTCTTATTCGTAAAATAACTTAACGCTTGTCGCAATGATAACCTCAGCTACGATAAGGACTTTATTCTACCAGGTGTTCAAATTAATCAATTGACTAATAAATGAATAAATGTATAAATAATATCATGGGCAACAAATCACTCCTTAATTTTGGCGCGAAGTTTCAGCCTTAATTTATAAATTTACACGTGAAATAGCGATATTGTTATAATCGTGTTTTTTCTACGGTGCCAAAATCCCCCGTTTTGTGAGCGTATACATTTTTTGACCATAGTATTTAAACTTTAATCAAACGGTATACAATTGTACTAGTGAAACTGGAGGAATAATTTAACTTGTGTTCTGTCCAAATTCTTATATGAAAGTATTCCCTAATTTCACTTGTCCACACATTTGATTACACACAAAAATTCGTTAGCTATTTTTTTCCATAATGTTTTTACAAGTAAAACAGAAAAACAAAAAATACCAGCAATACCTTCTCTTGCATTTTTGTCGTGTCATAAAGCACCTTCTCGAGGTTCCACTTTACTTCCCCCAGATACTTTTTCATCTTGTCTAACTGCGCGCGGCTTTCTTTCGGTATTTCTTTCATAGTCTTGAGTCCATCAGTGAAGGCTGCCCACAGAAAAAAGATCCAAAACCTGATCCAAGACCAGCTTCCGCATGCCACAGCTGCTAAGGCACTGGTGATAAGATGAAGTTTTCTTCTCTCCGCATTTCCACGTCCCTGTGTCTGGAGAAGGTTTGTTAACACATCCCGATTTTTCTGCAGAAATTCTGCCAGCATTTTCAATTTCTCAGCCGTTTTCTGTTGACCTTCCTCTTGTATTGGGCGTGGAAGTAACTCCTCATGGATGCTGTCCACCATGGTCTTGATTGAGATGTGATAGAAAAGGCGATTCTGAAAATGAATAAGAGACCTTAAGGGAGTAAGGGCAAAAAGAACAATCTGCTTTAGTTTCACATTTGCGATTTCATTCTCGAATATGAATGAAGGACATGAATACATACAAAGAACTTCTAGAACAAAGGGATGTTTCATGCATACTCATACATACGTACACTGTTTGCAGGAGGATCATAAGGTTATCCCTATATTAACATCTCTCCTTAAAGATAACCCAACCAGCCCAGGAAAGTTTGGCCACAAGTAGTGGTATAGGCACCAAATTAACTCCCTTTCATGCGGGGGAATACATTAACGCCGATGACGTCATAGCGTTTTGTCTTTTAACTCACGAATAAAATGCGGTGAATTCTCATTATCTGCCATCTTTTGTGTTTCTTATACAATAGGAGTAATAGATTAACGTAGCCCAGACTGGTTTTAACCTGTTTGTCATGTTCTTGTTTTATTGAACTGGTTTGGGTTATTTTTAGATGGATGATGACTAAGGAATAAACTCAAACTTGAATGTACCTTAAAATCATTGAGTCGTAACGTAATTATGCACGTTCCATTTCCTGCCGCTGTCATTGTTAAAGTTCCTGTGCACCGATTCTTAGCGAGAAAGTCGTGTATATCTAATGAAGCGCGAAGCTCTTCCTGCTCAATTTTATTGTTGCTCTCCTCCTCCTCCTCCTCATTTCTATTGTTTACCCTCCTATCATACCAGACTTAATTAATCAAAAAACCGATAATCGATAATTAGCGATTATACTATCGATTCCTATCGATTATCTACGTCTGGAACATGTAACAAGCTAGTTAGTAAACCGACAAGCCAATTACCGATGACATGTCTCGCAAACAACATCAACCAAGCTCTTCTACAACCACAACACGACTTTTCGCCCCTTTCTTTTTTACTATCAGGCTACCACATCGGGTCACAAGGTCTCTACTCTCTCACTTGAACAGCGTTTTAAATAGCTTAGTGCAGTTGTTGCCTCTAAAGCAGGTGACCCAGAGTAGGGGCATGCGTATAGCTGAGTGGAAGATGAGCCCCCGCCCCCCCCCGCCACGTTTCAAAACGCTCCTCCGTCTCTGTTTAGTGAAGATACTTCAAGGGGTCTTTTCAAGTACGTGGACGATACTGAAGTCTACAAGGTAGTGGAAAATAAAAGGACTAGTTATGCGCAGTCCATCCTCAATGAGGTGTCTGCATGGTCCACTAAAAACATGTTTCAACTACATTCCTCTAAGTGCAATGAACTAAACATAACCTTTGCACGCTCCCCAAAAAACCATGAACTTGTAGAAATCGATGGTTTTGAAATTCATACAGTACAGGTAGTTAAATTAGTAGACTTTTATAGTCAAGAACACGTTAAGGGGAATTCTCATGTTACAGAAATGACAAAAAAGCTACCAAACGATTTTTTTACAATAAATTAGCGAATCCTCGCGCGCTGATTGGTCGAGAGCTATGGTCTATGAGAGTATTAACCATGTAACATGTCACGCAGTGCCGGTGGTTTTGTTCTTGGTTTTTCGTAAAAACAAAAAATATTATTTTAAAAAGCAAATCGACCACAATTCTCCATGGTCTACACTCTTATAGACCATAGAAATGACGCAGTAAAATGTTCAAAACTTTGCAGTGGAACCACGAGCCGCTTTCCACTTGAGTTTTGAACATTTTATGACGTCATTTCTATGGTCTATAAGAGTCTAGACCATGGAAAATTTTAGTCCATTTGTGAAGAATTTTTTAGAGCAACTAAAGCGTGCAAAAGTACCACCTGAAGAACTGGTTCAGTTCTATGTAGTTTGCATTCATATAAATAAAGTGCACTACTCAGATGCCCTATCACGTTGAGGCCTTGTTCAGTTACAGCAAAGAGGGACAGAGCTGTGTAAAAAAACTTTTTTAACAAAATTGTTGAAAATTCCCTTGATGTTTTGCACCCTCTCATAACATTCAATGAGTTACCCTCTAAGGACCTCTGTCAGGAATTCCAGAACATACCGTGCAAAGCCATGCAAGACCAACAGGTGCCATGATACTTTTATTAACAAATGCCCAAGTATTTTCCAATAATTCATAGTTAGTCTGAGATTCTATGTTCGAAGTTGTAGGATTTGTTAAAGTTAGTATATGAGGATTTAATTTGTAATTATGTTTGAATTCATAACCCTTTTCTATGTATTGTTAACCTTAGCAATTTAGTCGATACTGCTAGTGAGGTATTTCAATGAAGCATTCTATTCTATTTTATTCTATTCTATTCTAGAAATAGATCCTACAGGGAAATGAAATGGGGCATTGATTTCACTGCATGATCATTCACGTGATTTAGTGATGCACGCAATAAGTACCAGTTCCTGGGCAAAAGAAGGCCACTGAAAAATTACCGTAAAATTCCGAAAATAAGCCAAGGGGTTTATATTTTTCATAGGCCCTTTTTGAGGGGCTTATTTCTGGAGGGGCTTATCTACGGAGGGAAATTTGCGTTTCAAAATCGATTGGGCTAGCCTTATAGCTGGAAGTAAATTTACCTTTTTTGCTTTGTTCTACTTTGTGTTTGAGGGCAATTTTCCAAGTACAAGCCCCCGGGGGGCTTATATTTGGAGGGGCGATTTAACGGAGGGTTTTTTTTGCGTTACCGGTTTGGGGGGCTTATATTTGGAGGGGCTTATACATGGAAGGGCTTATTTTCGGAATTTTACGGTATTGTACGAAAGCATGATGCCATGAAAGTGGTGTCGAGAAAAGTTTGACTAAAGAGGCAAGACAAGACAAAAATGTTTTATTTTACTCAGCACGATTTTACAATTAATACAGATTGAGTTAGCGAAACAAAGCTCATCAACATGACTTTTCCACGGTTAAGCTTGAATCAAATGTTATGCCTAAGTATTTAACACCGTGAACTTGTCTAATAGGAACATCCCCAATTTCAATACAAAAAGGCTGATAAGGCTTCAGTTTATTGGAATGGAAAAGAATAAAGTAGTTTTAAAGATACTTGGTGTTAATGAATTACGGTCAATTAAATTCAGTTTATTTTTTCACAGTATTTTTGCTAGCTATGCTAAGTAACAGCCTTTTTAGCCAGTTGTTTACAGTTATAAACGTTTCTGTTTAACTACATTAAAGTTCGAGTACGATGGCCATCCAGGCATTCAGCGACAGATTTAAGTTTCTTAATTTAGTGTTTTTTCAAGGTGGCTAGTAAGTTGTTTGCTACAAAAACAAAGGTTAGAATCATCAGCCCCAAAAAATGTAAAGTAAGCTAGAAGTATTAGGCAAATCATTTACACACTAACAGAAATAAAAGGAATCCTAGAATGGATCCTTGTGGAACAGCACAAGTCACAGGTAAGGAAACGGAGTCATGACCATTAACACATACGGTTCAAGTTGCTCACTTTAGGTGAATAAGATTTCAGTAAATCATTGAAAAGCTTTTTTTCAGATCTACAAATATACCACAGCCAAATTCAGTATTATCAATAGACTGTCAACTAGTAGTCAAACATTTGTCCCTGAAAACCAAGAAGAATTGGATTAAATTTATTTTTAGTTTCTCCAGATAACTATTAGAGACGATGATACATAGCTTTTTAAAATCATTTGCTTAAGTTGGAGACGAAACAGAAATGGGTCTTTAATCGTCTTTGTCATATTTAGAGCCTTTCATGGAAGACAAGGCTGAACCTGTGCTTACTTAAATTTATCGGCAAAATTGCCTCTTGTAAAGGAATCATTCACTAAAAAGGTCAGAGGCTCAGATATATAGTCCTTCATTATTTTCAGAATAGTAACAGGTATATTGAATGGGCCACAAGACTTTCTAGTATTTATATCACTTATAAGATTCCCGATCATTTGGGATGACAGAGGATAAAAAGAACGATACTGGAAATTAAATTACCCCTCATGCCATCAAGGATGCCCCTTCCAGCCGCAATGAATCGAATTATCTACACATGACGTTGTGTTATTTATTGGCCCTGTTTCCGAGCTATAAAGGTATTCACCATTTTAGTGAATGAAGACCGTAAACATTACAAACAAAACGAAACGTACCCTAATGGATGACAGTTCCGGCTCAAGAAACCGCTAAACCTTTGGTTGAAAGAAAATCGTTCTTGCGATGCGATTTGCTCTTTTACTCCTAGCCTCCTAATTCACTAGAAATATATTTTCTATTAAGCACAAAAGGTTCCTACTTTCGAGGAATAAAGAACCATACCGTTAAAAAACACACTTTCAATTTCTGCGAATATTAAATTCGTTCATTTCCCGGAAAAACGATAAGAACGTAAATAATTTAATTCATAGGCCTAAAAGTGAACTGACACCCGTACTTAACACCATTTTTTGAAGACGTTAAATAATCAGAAATAAAGCGAGAATGTGGCACAGTTTTTGCTCCTGTTTTTGTTACTCAAGGCTTTGAGTTCACAAAATTAATCCGGAAGCCTGAAGGCCAATATGCTTCCGCTTGTTTCCTTACCTGTTTTAAGCACCGGCTCAACTGGAGAGTAGTAGCCCCGATTTACTGAAATAAGAACATGTATTACGATATACTTGCAGCGGAATAACGAAAACTGAACTGTCCGCAGTTTTTATAGTACTGTGAATTTGCGAACGAAGCAGAAACTGAACGAAAAGGAGCGGTTATGCATTCCAAAATGACTCAGACTAGGTGTTTGGCTATCGCCGCCTGACGTTTTACGACTGAACTCCTCCAAGATTGAATTCTTCGATATGTAAAGCCTATACTTACCCCTCCGTCCTATACAATAGAAACGTCTGGCTATGATGGAGAAAAGCCCCTGCTCACTGCGGATGCTTCAGAAGCTTTCAAAATGAAAGGGATAGAGGCCTGTGAAGGGAATTTTCCCTTGGGGTTCTCTAATTACAACTTCTGCAAACGAAAAATTGCAATGTGTGTAGACTCAACATTATCTTTCCA